TTGATTCTTGTATGTGCCTTGACCCGAGATCGAACGCCACAACCTTGGCGTATAGGGATGATGTTCTAACCAACTGAGCTATTCTGCCAAGGCTCTTTTATATCTTCTTAACTAGGAAAACCTGAATAAGGTGGTTTTCCAAGACCAATTTCTGTAATTATCATTATTTATCATTCCAAAGCATGTCTTATTGCCTACAGTGAAAGATATTTTTGTGTGACTTGATTTTATTATTTTTAGTTTTATGATTATCCTTTAATTCCATCCTAATCCAATTCCTTTCACATCAGCAAGAATCACCAGATGATAGAGTAATGATGAAGAGAAGATTTCAAAAACAAATAAAAACACTTTCTAAGTCCCTGAAAATACTATCTAAAATAAGACAAGATCAATTAAATAAATTAGCAAGTGAACATTGTTTTACTCAAGAATCTATTTCTAGATTATTTGATTTTTTAAAAATTTAAAGTTTTTATTTTTTATCTTCACCCAAATATATTTTATTGATATTTAGAGAGAGCAAGCAAGAGAGTGAGAAATATTGATGTGAAAGAGAAACATCAATTAGTGATTAGTTGATTCCCTGACAGGGAATCACACCAGCAACCTTTTTTCTTTGATGGATGGGATGATGCTCCAACCAACTCAGCCACCCAGCCAGGACTTGATTTTTTTTTAAAATATATTTTATTGATTTTTTACAGAGAGGAAGGGAGAGAGAGAGTCAGAAACATCGATGAGAGAGAAACATCGATCAGCTGCCTCCTGCACATCTCCCACTGGGGATGTGCCCGCAACCCAGGTACATGCCCTTGACCGGAATCGAACCTGGGACCTTTCAGTCTGCAGGCCGACACTCTATCCACTGAGCCAAACCGGTTTCGGCGAGGACTTGATTTTTTGAATGTTGTTTTTCCATTCAATTATTTATGTCCAATTTTGGTCATCTCACTTATTACAAGTTCCTCTTCTACTAGTTGAAAAAAATATTTAAGCCTAAAATCTGTTGAAACATATTTTTAATATAACATCTAATTTAATTTTCATGTCATTCCACAGTAAATACTATTATCCCTTATTTTACACGAGGAATTTATATCTAAGTCATTAAATAATTTTCTCAGAATAACTCTGCTATTGGGATTGAGAGACCAAGAATTTAACCAACATAGGCATACCATAAGGTTCAAATTACCATTTTGGTGCTTGTGAGTTATTCTTTAAATTATAAATAAAATATTGATTGGATGAGATTATTACCCTCTAGATAACATAAACTTTATTGTGAGACTAAAAAAATTTCACTTGGCCAAACTCTCTTAGTAACAAACACACAAAAACATTAAAATAGGCATTAAACTCAGTTTTATTTCACTGAACCATGTTATATGAGTAACGTAAAGATGTGATTGTTTTTCACCAAAGTGTCTATCAATTGCCAAAGAGTTAGACATCCCCTCATACTTGTGGTCTTTTACATAATCACATCAAACACTTCAGAGGAGAATGGTGATAATCTAGGTCTAGATTAGAAAACCTTGGTTTAGTGTCTTACTTATTTCCATTTCCTCTAGACTTTGTTCCTAGTTGGTGGGATTAAAAAAGCAATGCTATAACTACTACTTTCATGATATGGTCTCCAGATGGCTGACTAAAATTTATTCCATCACCTTGAGGTTATTCAAGTTATTCCAAGCAGAACTGGAGGAGGTGGGGTCAAACATGCAGACATAAAAGAGCTTATTTGAGGATATAAATACTTGTGCATATTGGAATCTTTGGTAGAATTGTATTTTTCTAAAATAAGAATATGGATGTTAACAAAAGGTAGATGTTAAGAGACTTTGAATGTGTTCTGGGGTTATTTTGTTTCCTGTTTATCAGAATTTGAATCTAGGAAAGCCGTATTTCCTGGTTAGATGCCTGAGTCCTGCTTGGTATATATGATCTTCAGCAGTAGAAAAGAGTTATGATAGCTCCAAGAACATCAACTTGTAAAAGTATCTTTGAAAGGATATACATTTTAATAGACATCAAATAGACATTAAAAATTATAAAAGTATTTATATTAAAATACGTTAATGTCTATTTGAATACTTAATGTCTATTTGAATATATTAAATATAACATAAACTAGACAAATATAAAGTTATATTAAAGAGCATATTTGTCTAGTTTATGTTATATTTAATAACCAAAGCAGATATTTATATGATTAACAAAGGTAGATACAGAGTTTATATTTTAATTAGTTTAATAGGCAAAAAAACCCCCACAAATCTAAAGGAATTTGTAAAAATATAAAACTCGCCCAGTCGGCAGATGTGGCTCAGTGGTTGAGCATTGTCCTATGAACCAGGAGGTCACAGTTCCATTCCCAGTCAGGGCACATGCCTGGGTTTCAGGCTGGATCCCCAGTGTAGGGCATGCAGGAGGCAGCTTATCAATGATTCTCTCTCATCCTTGATTTTCTCTCTCTTTCTCCCTCTCCCTTCCTCTCTGAAATATATCCTTATTATAGCATTTAAGAAGTTCCAAATGGTTCTGAAGACCGAAGTCATGGTCACTCTCTATCTGTGTCTAAAAAAGATATATTTGATAAATGGCCTTTTTCTGACCTTCAAGAGCACCCCTTCCACAAATCATCACATGCTCCCTATCTAACTAAATTCATTTGTGTCTTAAACACGATCCCTTCTTTTGGCCAAATGGGTTATTATTTCAGTTCTTTTTTTTTTCTTCTTCGTTTCCCCCTTACCTGCCCACACCCCATCTCCATAACACTTTGTACCTCATTTGGTCCCTTGTTCTATCACTATGGCTTTGCAAATCACTTTTCCCATTTGTAATATCTTCCCTTTGCACCATCCATGCATATGGTTCCTTCCTTTAAAATGTAGCTCTCTTCTTTGAGAAATATGTGATTCTGTTTCATTTTCAGTTACTTCGTCCATGCAAGCTTTTAGCAGTGTACTAACTTGGATTTGTTGGTATGTTGCCTTGAAGTATGTGCTGTCAGCTTTTTTCACCTGTTTATGTTGTATCTCCTAAAGGAGATTATAGACTCTAAGACAATGTCTTCTAAAAATTGCATCCACCCTAAGTGCCTAGAACAATGTTCACCCCATAAAAAGTGCTGAAAAAAAGTTATTGCTCAATTGTTTGGCTTGCTACATTTTCTGTTCCAGGGAAACCAGTACAACATACTTTGAACATCTTTTATGTCTTTAAAATTATTATAACGTGAAGACTGCCAAATTGTAACCATTTCCACGTCACTGGATTATTTATTTTAAATTGGTAGAGAATGAATGATGACCACAAAAATTATGCCCTTGAAGAGAGTATGGTGGTAACGTCAAATATATTACTTAACTTAAAAAACCAAACAGGGGTGGTTAGGGTTAAGTCGAAACTTAGGTTTATTTTTAGTTCTCAAAGAGACTAGTTAGGGAGCTTCACTTGAATATCAAAGCCTCTAGCAAACTCGTGAAGCATTTGAAGGTACATAAAGACAGATGTGATGTAAACTTTAAATTCCCACTACACATTTACAACAACTCCCATCAGTCCCTCGAATAATTAGATCATTAGAAAATACATAAATATAGCCCATGGGGTGGAAGGAGGGGGGTGGAGAGAAGTCTCTAGATAGCTTAAGATCCAAGGGTGGGGAGTGTTGGTTTGTTTTCAATCCATCTGCGGGTCGCTGATTAGATTCAGCACGCTGGCCAGCTCCGCTCTCGGCGGATTTATTGGCCTAAGAGAGGAAGGAGCACAGGGAGGAAGGCACCATCTGCTGCTTTTGAATTAATAGATAACTGGGAGCCAGGGATGAAGACAGTGCGACAGAGTCATCGTATTAGATGTTGATGCCAACGAGTTTTCTTTCTTTTTTTGGGGGAGGGGGACTTTGTCTAATCTCGGGGTCCCCAGGCCTCTACACGGATCCTCCAGCGAGCTAGAATGGAGAAAGGGCTGAGCAACCAGAAACCCTTCTGTTTCTCTGCTTGGCTCATCACGGCAAGAAAGTGTTCCCAGTTCTTGGAAATGAAGGATGTTCATCAGCTTTTTTCGGGTTAGGCAAGACGGGGATTCTACTTAAATGAGTTGAGTTGCAAGGCCGATACACAAATCCGCTCTCCTCTGATCACTGTTATTTTAACGAGAGTGGGCGTATGCAAAGCAAATTGCTGGAGTCCGAGTTTACACAGGTGGGACCCATACGCTGCCCACGCCCCAGGTGCGAAGAAGACGGGAAAGGAGGTAGACTCTTTACCATACGGCATCTCGCTGGCTTTCTCTTAGTGAGAGCTCTGGATTTAGCCTCCTCGCCAACAAGTCATCACTGGGTAGCGCATTTCTTCCTCCCCCAAGAACTTTTGTCCGCGGGAGGGGGAGAGAGGTCGAGGCAGTGAGAGCTGAGGATCAAGGAGGAAATTGTCCACAAAAGGAAGGGGGAGAAGAGGGCAGGAGAGCGTTAGGGTAAGTACTGAAGCTCTGAGACTCTGGGGTCGCTCGCGCTCTCCGCCTCCAGCCCTCTGCAGCCACTCTTTACGCCACGGACACTGGAGAGTTAAGCCAATAAACACGTAAGCGCCGCTCCCTCCCCAATCGGCAAGTTGCCTCTTCGGCTCTTGGCTGCATCGACAGCTTGCAACACTCGGCATCTTTTCTGCAGGCGCCTCCTTCAGCGGCTGCAGATGGCATCCGGCTGCGGGCTCCGGGCTGGCCATTGACTGTCCCCTTTGCCCACCGCGGACCCACGGACGCACCTCTCTCTTCCCTTCCTCCCCTCGCGCTCCTGGGTTTGAGCGCAGCTCCGGATCGCCGGGCGAAGGAAGCAGTCGCGGCGGCCGAGGCTGAGCTGTAGGGCGCTCGCTCCCTGATTTGGGGAGAAGCGCCCATCCGGGAGAGCCGACCCCCAGCTGCTCCAGCGCCCCCCATCTTTTGCATCCCAAGTCGGGGCTCCAGGGACCCCCTCTCCAGGCGGCACCATGCTGGACCCTTCGTCCAGCGAAGAGGAATCGGATGAGATCGTGGAGGAGGAGAGCGGCAAGGAGGTGCTGGGCTCGGCCGCGTCCGGCGCGCGCCTGTC